GGGCAGATCACCTGATGTCAGGAGTTTTTTGCAATTTTAGTAGAGACAGGGTTTCACCACATTGGCTAGACTGGTTTTGAACTACTGACCTCAAGTGATCCACCTGCCTCGGCCTCCCAAAGTGCTGGGATTACAGGCATGAGCCACTGCGCCCAGCCAATAATGTTTTTTAAAGTATAGATTCCTGTAAGACTTCCATATTTACAAGGCATTAAACATCTCTGTATAAGCCAATTAAATTTTGCATATAAAATCTCTATAATTTTATAGAAATCCTATGAAAGGGAACTCAGGCTGCTTTTGGTCTCACACTTGGCTGGGGTGCTCAGCCAAGTACTCATTAAGTGTTCAGCTGTGTGAGGTACTAATTATTCACCATCTTCTGTTCTGCACATGACTTAAAGCCTCATTCAAATATTTGAGAATGTACTATGTCAGTCACTGAGGATGCAATGATAATAAATACAGTTCCAGGGCTCCCGGAGTTCATAGTTTAATAAGAAGGAGGGCTGACAGGTAAGAAACAATGACAATATAGTATAATAAATGCTACTGCAAAAGGTAAGTTTGAGCCGGGCATAGTGGCTCATGCTTGTAATCCAGCACTTTGGGAGGCTGAGGCAGGTGGATCACTTGAGGTCAGTTATTCAAAACCAGCCTAGCCAATATGGTGAAACACTGGCTCTACTAAAATCACACACACAGGCCGGGCAAGGTGGCTCAAGCCTGTAATCCCAGCACTTTGGGAGGCCGAGGCGGGTGGATCACGAGGTCAAGAGATCGAGACCATCCTGGTCAACATGGTGAAACCCCGTCTCTACCAAAAATACAAAAAATTAGCTGGGCATGGTGGTGCATGCCTGTAATCCCAGCTACTCAGGAGGCTGAGGCAGGAAAATTGCTTGAACCCAGGAGGTGGAGGTTGCGGTGAGCCGAGATCGCGCCATTGCACTCCAGCCTGGGTAACAAGAGCGAAACTCCGTCTCAAAAAAAAAAAAAAAAAAAATCACACACACACACAAAAGTTAGCCTGGCATGGTGGTACATGCCTGTAATCCCAGCTACTCAAGGCGCTGAGACAGGAGAATCGCTTGGACCAGGAAGGCAAAGGTTGCAGTGAGCCAAGATCACACCACCCCACTCCAACATGGGTGACAGAGTGAGACTTCACCTTTAAAAAAAGAAAAGAAAGAAAGAAAGAGGGGCCCAGCAAGGTGGCTTATGCCTGGAATCCCAACACTTAGGAGGCTGAGGCAGGGTCAAGAGATCAAGACCATCCTGGCCAACATGGTGAAATCCCGTCTCTACTAAAAATACCAAAAATTAGCTGGGCGTGGTGGCGCACGCCTGTAGTCCCAGCTACTCAGGAGGCTGAAACAGGAGAATCGCTTGAACCCAGAGGCAGAGGTTGCAGTGAGCCGAGACTGCAACACTCTACTCCAGCCTGGGCAACAGAGTGAGACTCTGACTCAAAAAAAAAAAAAAAAAAAAGGAAAAAAACTAAAGTTTGGAGTTAGAAAGGAAGCAAATAAGGGTGCATAAATTAATATTTGAGAGTACGAGGCAAATGATCAGCTGAGGTCAAGAGTTTCAAGACCAGGTTGGACACAGTGACTCAACCTGTAATCCCAGCACTTTGGGAGGACGAGGCAGGCAGATCACCTGAGGTTAGGAATTCGAGACCAGCCTGGCCAACATAGCAAAACCCCATCTCTACTAAAAATACAAAAATTAGCCGGGTGTGGTGGCACATGCCTGTAATCCCAGCTACTCACGATGAGTAAAGGAAGCCTTCCCAGAGAGAGTAACATTTAAGAGAGACAAAGATAGCCAGGCACGGTGGCTCATGCCTGTAATCCCAATACTTTGGGAGGCTGAAGCGGGCATATCACCTGAGGTTGGGAGTTTAAGACCAGCCTGACCATCATGGAGAAATCCCGTCTCCACTAAAAAGTACAAAAATTAGTTGGGCATGGTGGTGCATGCCTGTAGTCCCAGCTGCTTGGGAGGTTGAGGTAGAATTGCCTGAACCTGGAAGGTGGAGGTTGTGGTGAGCCGAGATCGCACCATTACACTCCAGCCTGTCAACAAGAGTGAGACTCCATCTCAAAAAAAAAAAAGAGAGAGAGAGAGAAAGGCTAAGAAAACGTTCATTAGGGGCTGGGCTCGGTGGCTGACACCTGTAATCCTAGAACTTTGGGAGACTGAGGCAGGCAGATGGCTTTAGCTTTGGAGACCACCCTAGGCCCCATGGCAAAACCCCATCTCTATCAACTAAAAAAGAAAGTTCATTAGGGAGTCAGGAAGTTTTCTAGGAAGAGGGACAAGCAGAGGCAAAGGACTAAAGCTCAGACAGAATATGGCTCATTTGAAGAACTGAAAGTTGTTCAGTATAGCTGCAGCATACAGTTTGATCAGAATTGGAGAATGGAAAGATATGATGCTGGAGTTAAATAGGGCCAGATTTTGTGTGACCTTATGAGTCAGGGTAAGAACTCTCAACTCTTTTTTTTTTTTTTTTTTTTTTTTTTTGAGACGGAGTTTCGCTCTTGTTACCCAGGCTGGAGTGCAATGGCGCGATCTCGGCTCACCGCAACCTCCGCCTCCTGGGCTCAGGCAATTCTCCTGCCTCAGCTTCCTAAGTAGCTGGGATTACAGGCACGCGCCACCACGCCCAACTAGTTTTTTGTATTTTTAGTAGAGACGGGGTTTCACTATGTTGACCAGGATGGTCTCGATCTCTCGACCTCGTGATCCACCCGCCTCGGCCTCCCAAAGTGCTGGGATTACAGGCTTGAGCCACCGCGCCTGGCATGAACTCTCAACTCTTAAAATGGTTCATTACAGCTGACTTTTCACTCCCTTGGTCTCTACTATACTAGCAGCTAGCTAGAGAAAAAGGCTGTGATAAATGAAGGTATGGAAACCAGAGGACATGTAAAAATTGTGACAGATCTTTTGGCTGTAAGTTTCTCTACATGTGTCATTAATTTGCCCCACAATGTCATCTTTGGGTGGCATCTAAGAAGGTGAAATTTCAAAACAGCTATCCTAGGTGCAGCTGTGAAGTAAGATTATCTCCAGAAACAGTAAGGAAGGTACAAAAACTCACATTGCTATTCAGCACACTAATGGCAACATATAAATTAACATGTCAAGTTAAATTTGTTCTAAGTTTCATTTGATTATAACACCAATTTTTTTTTACTGAAGTCTTGGCAAACATGCAGAAATCAGTGTTGCTAATTTGATGATAAACTCACAATTTTTAAAAATTAAATACCTCTGACCGGGCAAGGTGGCTTACGCCTGAAATCTCAGCACTTTGGGAGGCTGAGGCAGGTGGATCACCTGAGGTCAGGAGTTCGAGACCAGCCTGGCCAACATGGTGAAACCCTGTCTCTACTAAAAATTAAAAAAAAAAAAAATTAGCTGGGTGTAGTGGCCCGAGCCTATAGTCCCAGCTACTCTGGAGGCTGAGGCAGGAGAATCACTTGAACCTGGGAGGCAGACATTGAAGTGAGCTAAGATAGCGCCACCGCACTCCAGCCTGAGCAACAAGAGGAAAACTCTATCTTAAAAAAAAACAAAAACAAACAAAAAAACCTTAAATACCTCAGGCCGGGGTTGGTGGCTTACGCCTGTTATCCACCACTTTGGGAGGCCGAAGCAGGTGGATCACCTGAGGTCAGGAGTTCCAGACCAGCCTGACCAACATGGTGAAACCGTCTCTAATAAACACAAAAAATTAGCCGGGTGTGGTGGCGAGCACCTATAATCAATCCCAGCTACTTGGGAGCCTGTGGCAGGAGAATCGCTTGAACCTGGAAGGCAGAGGTTGCAGTGAGCAGAGATTGTGCCATTGTACTCCAGCTTGGGCAACAAGAGGGAAACTGTCTCAAAAATAAAATAAAAAATTAAATACCTCACCCTCATTTACACCAACTATGAGGCAAACGAGTGACTACATGAAGGCACTGCCCAGGCAACTGAAGCCTTTTGAGACTCTGCTGTCCCAGAACCAGGGAGGCCAGGCCTTCGTTGCAGGCGACCAGATCTCCTTCACTGACTACAATCGGCTGGACCTGCTACTGATCCACGAGGTCCTGGGTAACAAGAATGAAACTCCATCTCAAATTAAAAAAAAAAAAAAAAAACTTCATTGGTCCTAGAGAAAGGTAAACAGCCCCTGCCTCCCAATGACGGTCCCCCCAGCCTTCACTGTATGAGCCACCACACCCGGTGACCCAAGTTTCTAAGAGAAAAAAGAAATCAAAAGAAATATTGGGCTGGGCACACTGGCTCAAGCCTGTAATCCCAGCACTTTGGGAGGCCGAGGAGGGTGGATCACCTGAAATCAGGAGTTTGAGACCAGCCTGGCTGACATGGTGAAACCTTGTCTCTACTAAAAATAGAAAAATCAGTAGGGTATGGTGGCGAGCACCTGTAATCCCAGCATACTCAGGAGGCTGAGGCAGAAAAATCGCTTGAACCTGGAAGGTGGAAGTTGTGGTGAGCCAAAATCGTACCATTGCACTTCAGCCTGGGTGACACAGGAAGACTCCATCTCAAAAAAAAGAAAAAGAAAAAGAAAAAGAAAAAAATAGAAATATCGGCCAGCCGAGGTAACTCATGCCTGTAAACTCAGCACTTTGGGAGGCCAAGGTGGGTGGATCACCTGAAATCAGGAGTTTAATCAAACAGCCTGGCCAACATGGCGAAACCCCGTCCCTAGTAAAAATTTTTTTAAATTAGCCAGGTGTGGTGGCGGGCACCTGTAATCTCAGCTACTCTGGAGGCTGAAGCAGGAAAGCTGTCTGAACTCAGGAGGCAGAGGGCGCACTGAGCCCAGATTTTGCCACCGCACTCCACTCTGGGCAACAGTACAAAACTCTGTCTCAAAAAAAAAAAAAGAAATATCACTCCCAATACTTGTCTTCCTGTGCCAAACTTAGGAGATACAATATCTACTAGGAGCTGAAAATAAGGAGGCAAATCCAGACATGTTTACTTGTGTTTATTCTTGTTTTTGTTTTTGTTTTTGTTTTTTCTTAAAAAAAAGATGAGGGAGAGAGGGAAATAACCCATCAACACTGCGAACAGGAACCAAGACTCCAAGACTTAGGCGTACTCTCTCTACCCTCAGCCTCAGTTCTCCAAGAGATTCCCACCCACCTGATTTTCTTTTAAACAAGACACCCAAATCAGCAGCAAAGGTACTCTGGGTAGTCACTGAGATTTTGAACACCGGGAAAAAGAGGGGGAAAGTCCAAAAAGTAGAAGTTGGGAAGACAAGGGAAGGATCGAGGGAGATGCTAGGCTCTGGAGGACAGAGCTGGGCCGCAAGAAGTGGAAGTAAGCCAGTATGGGGAGTACCCCTCCTGACTGCTGTTGCCCATATTCCCCCGGACCCCAGAGAGCCCCATGGTTTGTTCTGCAGTTCATTCCCTATTACCCAAAAGCCTCAGAGGCCTAACTCCAAGTCCTCTAACTCCTCTTCCAGTGCCCTCCTCCTGGCTAGCTTTTCCAGCTGCTCTTTGCTGGGCTGGCTGACTTCCCCAGCCTGGATCCGCTGCTGCAGCTCTTCCACCTGCCGGAGCTTTTTCTTTAGGTTCTTTATCTTCTTGGCTTTCTCAGTGATGGCAGCTGAGTCAGGCTGGTCAGATGCAGCTGTGGGGGCTGCCCTGGAGCCCTGTGGAGCACTGGGGAGTTGGGCTGTCTCTTCCAGGGACACCTTGTCAAGAGTCCGGCTCAAGGCCTCTGCCTCTCCTTTCTCTTGCTGCTGCCGCCTCTTCTCCTTTCGCTTCAGGTTGCGTTTGGCTGTCTTGGAGAGGCCTGGTTCACCACCTTCGGGCCTGGATGGGGTGACAGGAGCAGTGGCCTCAGGGCTGAGCCCTGGGGGCAATTCTGGTTTACTCTTGAAAAACTTCACATACTTGTTTTCATATCTGCATGAAACAGAGGATGTCAACAGTTTCAGAAAATCACTGACTTGTTGATCCCTTTTCTTAAAACTTCCAAACACTTCATCCTCATTACATTCTTGCTTCCTTTTTTGTTGTTGGTGTTGTTTTTGTGGGCTTTTGTCTGTTTTTTTTTTTTTTTTTTTTTTTTTTTCTTTTTGAGACAGAGTCTCACCCTGTCGCCAGGCTGGAGCCTCAGCTCACTGCAACATCTGCCTCCTGGGTTCAAGCAATTCTCCTGCCTCAGCTTCCCGAGTAGCTGGGACCACAGGCGCGCACCACCACGCCCAGCTAATTTTTTCTATTTTTAGTAGAGACGGGGTTTCACCATGTTGGCCAGGATGGTCTCGATCTCTTGACCTCGTGATCCGTCCGCCTCGGCCTCCCAAAGTGCTGGGATTACAGGCATGAGCCACCAAGCCCGGCCTGTCTGTTTTTGAGATGGAGTCTCGCTCTGTTGCCCAGGCCAGAGTACAGTGGTGCAGTCTTGGCTTACTGCAACCGAACCTGCTGGGTTCAAGCAGTTCTCATGCCTCAGCCTCCTGAGTACCTGGAATTACAGGCTTGTGCCACAACGCCTGGCTAATTTGTATTCTTAATAGAGATGGGGTTTCACCACATTAGCAAGGCTGCTCTTGAACTCCTGACCTCAGGTGATCCACCCACCTGGGCCTCCCAAAGTGCTCGGATTACAGATGTACACCACAGTGCCCAGCCACTTTTCTCTATTTATGTTCCCTCCCCAGCTTTCCTCTGCTCTGCAGGAGAGGTGCAGCGAAGTCCCTAGAACCTAAAGCTTTGGAGGTTCTGATGAACAGAGGTCAAAAGCATAGGACTACTGATCTGTAACACCCACTCATCCCTGAACCCCAGCCCCTTCCTCTCCTTTCTCAGATAGCTGTTCCTCCTTCCATTTCCTTGGGGCTTAGAAGAGTCCTCCCTGAACTTGCAGGCATAAGGATATTCTATCCTTCTGTAGGGACCCCATCAGAAAACCCCTCCTCAAGCCTAACCACGCACACTGGGACCTCCTCCTGGGGAACGTAGCCTTCTTTCACCCTCCGCTGCTTGCGCCAGGTTCCGTCAGGTCGCTGTGTTGAGGCGATATACTTGCCTAAAATAAGAAAGTTTAAGAATTACTCTTATTTTCAAAAATTTTACAAGATGAGACAAGAATGTATAAATGTACACGCCTTCTTTCAACACCCATTCATCCAAATGCAACCATTAAGGCTCCTTTTCTCATACCAACAGTCAGGCTCTCATCACTGAGTGCCTATACACTATACAACGAGCCATCCTTGCCATCAAAAAGCTTCTATTTGCATAATTTAGTAGGTAAGACAGGACAAGGACAGAGGAAGAATTATTTGAAAAAACCAAGGCAGTCAGGCATTGTGGTATGTGCCTGTAATCCCAGCTACTCCGGAGGCTGAGGCTGGAGGATCTCTTGAGTTCAGGAGTTCTGGGCTGTAATGTGCTATGCCAATTGGGTGTCTGCAGTAAGTTCAGCATCAATATGGTGACCTCCCAGGAGCGGGGGACCACCAGGTTGTCTAAGGAGGGAGCAGGGGACCACCAGGTTTCTGGCCCAGGTCGGAAACAGAGCAGATTGAGCCACTGCACTCCAGCCTGGTGACAGAGCAAGACTGTCTCAAAAAAAAAAAAAAAAAGAATACAAAAACCAAAAACCTAAGGCAACTGCGTGGGAAAATGAAAGGCGGTAAATGAATAAGAGGCTAAAAAGGGGCAAAAACCATAGGGAGGAGAAATGACAACAGCAGATGTTGTAAAGAAGGAGACATTTTTTAGATGGACCTTGAAAAATAGGTCAACTTTTAGGATTTCATTCTACAGATATGTAAACACTGGTATACAAAGGATATATTTAAAGGATATTTGGGGTTTCTTTTTTGTTTTGAAAAGGAGTTTTACTCTGTCACCCAGCCTGGAGTGGTGCAATCTTGGCTTACTGCAACCTCCACCTCCCAGGTTCAAGTGATTCTCTTGCCTCAGCCTCCCGAGTAGCTGGGATTACAGGCCCCTGCCACCATGCCCGGCTAATTTTTGTATTATTGGTAGAGACGGGGTTTTGCCATGTCAGACAGGCTAGTCTCAAACTCCTGACCTCAGGTGATCCACCTGCCTCAGCCTCCCAAATTGCTGAAATTATAGGCACTAGCCACTGCACCTGGCCTTTAAAGGGTATACGTTGATGCATAATTTAAATTAGCAAAAAGCTGAAAGCAACTTAAATGGCCATCAATAAATGAATAATTCGCCAGCACTTTAGGAGGCAGAGGCTGGTGGATCCCTTTAAAGCAGGTGTCCCCAAACTACGGCCAGCGGGCCACATGCGGCCCCCTGAAGCCATTTATCCAGCCCCTCGCCGCACTTCAGGAAGGGGCACCTCCTTCATTGGTGGTCAGTGAGAGGAGCACAGTATGTGGCGGCCCTCCAACGGTCTGAGGGACAGTGAACTGGCCCCCTGTGTAAAAAGTTTGGGGATGCCTGCTTTAAAGGAATACACTTTAAGGCTGGGTGCAGTGGCTCATGCCTATAATTCCAGCAATTTGGGAGGCCAAGGCGGGTTGGATCACCTGAGGTCAGGAGTTTGAGACTACTAGCCTGTCTGACATGGGGAAACCCCATCTTTACTACTAATATAAAAATTAGCCAGGCATGATGGCACACGTCTGTAATCCCAAATACTGGGAGGCTAAGGCACGAGAATCACCTGAACCTGGGAGGCGGAGGTTACAGAGTCTCAAAAAACCAAAGATGTTCTACACTGCATAGTGTTATGATATACTAAGTGAAAAAGTAAGCTGCAGGATATCGCGTGGAGTAGTCATCCTCAAACTTTATTTCAGAACCCCCTTTATAAACTGTTCTGTGGTAATATGGATATCATTATATAATATTTAAGAGATTATATTCATTAAGCTCATCTCCAAAGTATTTAAGTACATGGAAGCTATCAAGCTCAGAGTGGGAGATAAAAGTTTTCCAAAATTCTTGGCCAGGTGAGGTGGACATGTCTATAATCCCAGCACTTTTAGAGGCCAAGGTGGGCGGATCATCTGAGGTCAGGAGTCTGAGACCAGCCTGGTCAACATAGCAAAACCCCGTCTCTACTAAAAATACAAAAATTAGCTGGGCATGGTGGCACACGCCTATAGTCCCAGATACTCAGAAGCCTGTGGCAGGAAGAACTTCTTGAACCCGGGAGACAAAGGTTGCAGTGACCAGAGATTGCACCACTGCACTCCAGCTTGGGTGACAGAGTGAGACTCCATCTCGGAAAAATAATAAGTTTTCCAAAATTCTAATTTTCATTTGAGCATTTAAATTTTATCATTGGCAACAAATACCATCAGTTATTTTCCTTCATTTTCAGGAAAATGGCCATCAGATACTCAGGTCTGAATTACCATAGTTTGTCATATTCTTTTTCAAGTAAAAAAAAAAAGTTTTCCATGAAAAGAAAGTTTGTTCAGCTCGCAAATCAGACAACCATCCTACTTCTTTATGCAGCAGAAGTGTTTCATGCTTACTTCCCATTAGTCACAGAGAACACTAAAAAGATGTTTATTCAAGGGCTGGGCTTAATACAATTAATCCTTTTTTATTGTATCATCAATGATATTCTTAGGTGAAACTGGCATTTACAGCAAGTGTGTGGCAGGGAAGAACACAATGATTAGTATAGTTTGGTGCCACTGCCATGACAAAGGCATGCTTAGCTTACAGGGCCAGCAGTTTCAGCAACCATGTCTTTTTGTACCACTGGTAAAAAGTTAACCCCGTGAAAAAGACAAATCTTAGTATGATTGTGAGAATAGTTCTGCTTGCAGACCTCCCAAAAATCTTAGAGACCCCCTAAAAGGTCCTGGACCACACTTTGAGATAGCTGGTATAGAGTCTGGTACTTTTTTTTTTTTTTTTTTTTTTTTTTTTGAGATGGAGTTTTGCTCTTGTTGCCCAGCTTGGAGTGCAGCATCATCTTAGCTCACCACAAACTCTGCCTCCTGGGTTCAAGCAATTCTCCTGTCTCAGCCTGGGATTACAGATATGTGCCACCACACCCAGCTAATTTTATATTTTTAGTAGAGACAGGGTTTCTCCATATTGGTCAGGCTGGTCTCGAACTCCCAACCTCAGGTGATCCACCTGCCTCGGCCTCCCAAAGTGCTGAGATTACAGGTGTGAGCCACCACGCCTGACCAGTATGGTACTATTTTTGTTGGAGTAAGGGGCAACACATGTAGTCTGTATACAGGGACAAAGAAAAAAGGTATGCCAGGACACATGATTACCTTAAGAGAGAAACTTAACTTATATACATATATGTTTTGTTGTAGGATCACATGAGGCCAGGATTTCCAGACCAGCCTGGCCAACATGGCAAAACTCTGTCTCTACTAAAAATATAAAAATTGGCCGGGCGCAGTGGCTCAAGTCGGTAATCCCAGCACTTTGGGAGGCCGAGGCAGGTGGATCACGAGGTCAAGAGATCGAGACCATCCTGGTCAACAAGGTGAAACTCCGTCTCTACTAAAAACACAAAGAATTAGCTGGGCATGGTTGTGCATGCCTGTAATCCCAACTACTCAGGAGGCTGAGACAGGAGAATTGCCTGAACCCAGGAGGTGGAGGTTGCGGTGAGCCGAGATCGCACCATTGCACTCCAGCCTGGGTAACAAGGGCGAAACTCCGTCTCAAAAAAAAGAAAAAGAAAAAGAAAAAGAAAAAGAAAAAAAAAAAAAAAAAAAAATATATATATATATATATATATATATATAAATTGGAGACTAGTCGAGGTGGTGCATACCTGTAATCCCAGCACTTTGGGAGGCCGAGGCTGGCAGATCAGTTAAGGTCAGCAGTTCAAGACCAGCCTGGCCAACATGGTGAAACCCCCATCTCCATTTAAAATAGAAAAATTAGCTGGGTGTGGTGGCAGGCTCCTGTAGTCTCAGCTACTAGGAAGGCCGAGGCAGGAGAATCTCTTAACTGGGAAAGTGGAGTTGGAGTGAGCCAAGATTGTGCCATTGTATTCCAGCCTGGCCGACAGAGTGAGACTCTATCTCAAAAAAATAAAAAAGTAAGTCTGGGCACAGTGGCTCACACCTGTAATCCCAGCACTTTGGGAGGCCAAGGTGGGTGGATTACTTGAGGTTAGGAGTTTGAGATCAGCCTGGGCGACATGATGAAATCCTGTCTCTACAAAAATACAAAAAACAGGCAGGTATGGGGGCAGGCACCTGTAATCCCAGATACTTGGGAAGGTGAGGCAGAAGAATTGCTTGAACTTGGGTGGCGGAGCTTGCAGTGAGCTGAGATCGCACCACTGCACTCTAGCCTGGGTGACAGAGTGAGACTCCATCTCAAAAAATAAAAATAAGTAAAAGAGGGCCGGGCGCGGTGGCTCAAGCCTGTAATCCCAGCACTTTGGGAGGCCGAGGCGGGTGGATCATGAGGTCAAGAGATCGAGACCATCCTGGTCAACATGGTGAAACCCCGTCTCTACTAAAAATACGAAACATTAGCTGGGCATGGTGGCGCGTGCCTGTAATCCCAGCTACTCAGGAGGCTGAGGCAGGAGAATTGCCTGAACCCAGGAGGCGGAGGTTGCGGTGAGCCGAGATCGTGCCATTGCACTCCAGCCTGGGTAACAAGAGCGAAACTCCGTCTCAAAAAAATAAAAATAAAAAATAAGTAAAAGAAATAAAAATACAAAAATTAGCTGGGCATGGTGGCACACTGGTAATGACAGCTACTGGGGAGACTGAGGCAAGAGAAGTGATTGAGCCAAGGAGACAGAGGTTGCAGTGAGCCAAGATTGTGCTACTGCACTCCAGCTTGGGTGACAGAGCAAAACTCTTTCTCAAAAAAAAAAAAAGTCTAGGGCCTCCTACATGAATTATATATTATTACATGAATTGGTTTTTTGCTCAAAATGCAAATATCATTAATACATTAAAACAAAAAAGGCTGGGCACGGCAGCCCACACCTGTAATCCAGCACTTTGGGAGACCAAGGTGGGCAGATCACCTGAGGTCAGGAGTTTTAGACCAGCCTGACCAATGTGGAGAAACCCCATGTCTACT